CCAAAAGCACCCTGTCTATTTTTATTCTTCACTGCCAATATTAATACTATTTTCGGCTACTACACTTCTAATCTCTCGAAGAATATTTATTAAATCGTTATGAGATTTACTCAATAAACCTCGAAAATGCGAACGATCAAAATCACCTAAAGAAGGAATTAAAGAGTTAATAATAGATGAAAGTTGCAATTTTGTTAAAGAGCTTTTAGTTTTTTGAAAATCTGCCTCTTCACATGTTATAGATATTGGATGCCAAATCTCCAATGCTGTTTTGTTAATTAGTTTAGCTTTAATAAATTCAATTCTCTTTATATTCACAATTTCGCTAAATCGTTTCATTTCTTTACTTATTTTTTGTTCACCACTTATATCTTGAAAAACACGATTGTTAGCTTTTGAATTTACGAATTAGGTTTTTCTTATTCGAGCTCGATAATGACTTGATTCACCAGTAAAACCAGGATATGTATGAGGTTCTTGGGTTTCACTTTCAGAATACCCTATTAGCTTAAAAAGATTAGTATACAATTTCAAAAACTTAGTACAATTACGTGCTGCAATTTCCCAATATCGTTGTGAAGATATTAGAGAAATTAATGATTTGAGCGCCTTATTAATTTCTTCAAGTATTGCATCGTGGCCTTGATGTTGATTCGAAAGTTTGGATCATGAAGTTACGATTCTCTCTTGGATTAAGTTGAAAACTTCAGGCTTCAATCGTAACATTTGCTCTTCATCATAAACCTCGATTAATCGATAAATTGGATGCTGTCAAGCAGACCAAATAGACGCAAACATTCTTCTAGCCGCAAGTCTTAGTAAAGACCTATTAAAATGAACTCCAGTATGAAAGTTAATAATTGCTTGCAAATAAAGAAAGATTTGTTTATATTTTAATTTATACATAGGATCTATTTGTTCTTGGGCCCATTTTAAATAACCTTCGACAGAAGGGTTTTCTTCATACATAACATATAGCCACATCAATTCAGATACCATTGCATGCCTGTATATATTACATACTGAATCCTACAATTTGTGATGATTTGAACATTTTTTGAAGAACTGAAGTTGATTTTTAGTTCGATACTCTTGACAATGAGCAAAATCTCTCATATCAATATCCTAATTCAACTCGACGAATGCTTTTAACATATTCATTTCTTCATGAAGAGCACCTAGAATTAATATAAGCCAAGGAAAATCTTTTTTTATTTTCAGTATATGATGATATAGCACTCTATCACACATAACCACGATCTATTTACACCTATTGTCTTTAACTCCAAATGCTTTTTCAATATGCTCAAAAACTTTTCGAACATTAGCGATCGAATTGGGGTTAATTCCTATCAGATCAGAAATAAACATTTGTGGCTCGTAAACCTTTAGAACCGATCCTTGTATATTTAATTCTTTAAACCTATAAGGACAAACAACTAGAGGCTTGTCAGTAGTATTTTTAATATTAGATTGTTCAAT